AAAGAAAACCAAAAGAATTAAAACGATACTCTGATTCCTAATACCCCAAATCAGATTCAATTTGAAATGAATGTGAAATTGAAACTCCACTATAGAGTAGTCTTGGCTATAAAAGTCTGTTTTGTTAGGCGTTCATGTAAGGAGTTGAAGTAGATTCAAAGTCTGCTTCAGTCCCAATCAGAATGACACCCACCATTCCCAAAAGGTCCAAGTGCCCTTGGAAAACAATGTAAACAATAAAACAAAAGAAAAATGGTGCTTTCTTATACACCGAGGTCCTAATTCTGTGAGCTCTGCATTTAAATGCCTCAGAAATATTGAAATTACTAAAACCAAAAATATTAATACACATGCACTTCTTAAACATGTGAAATTCCTCAAAGTTCAAGAGATGCAAGTAGTTTTATTTTAAGATTGATAATGGTTAATTGTTTTTAATTATGGGCCCCTCTGAGAGTTTGGAAAAAAATTTGGGTCTGCTTTTCAGAAAAATTCGCAAATTAATTAAAGACAGGGTATGTGAATTTCATGGGGCTTACGGACCCTACTTATAGTTAGGGATAAGCCTGTGGCCTGCGGGTTAAGAATGCTGCTTGAAAAAATTAGATGGGCTGGGATTGTGGCTCAGGGGTAGAGCACTTGCCTCACATGTGTAAGGCACTGGGTTCAATTCTCAGCATCGCATATAAATAAATGAATAAAATAAAGGTCCATCAACTAAAAAAAATTTTAAAAAAGAAAAGATTAGATACAATTTACTTTTCTAAATATACACAGAGGTTTGAACCACATTTTATTATCTGCTTCTTTTCATTACGTTGTTTAATGTAAATGAAACTGGAAGAGTACCTAAGACAAGACAAACTGAATGTGAACTTAACAGCATAACAGCCTGATAACAGTCAGAAACAAAAAAAAAATGACTATTTTAAAATTATTAAACAGCTGGATTCTATCTATAACGTCTGATATTGGGAGGCTGAGACAGAAGATTTCAAGTTCAAGGCCAGCCTCAGAAGCTTAGTGAGACCTTATCTCAAATAAAAAATATTAGGGGCATCCCTGGGTTCAATCCCCATACCAAAAAATAAAAATTATAAAACAAACAAGAAAATTAAAACAAAAAGTTATCATCTCTAATTTACCAGTTAAGTGATTTGCACCAGCCCATTGATTCCTGGAGAAGTGTGGCATTCCTTTGTATGGGTGATATCTGAAGACTGCTTCCATTCCCCAAAGGGGAATCATACTTATCATCATGCCTTCTGTGTACAAACTCCAGTGGAGAGAAAGAAAGCTACTTTTTGCTTATACACTTTCTAGGTCTGAATAGAATGTAAATCAAAATAGTAAAAACAACAAAGTTGATCCTGGATAATGGCAATCTGCTACTAGGTTACATTTGTAACAACTAAGAAAAAGGACCATTAAAGTACAACCCACAGGGCAAGTCTGGGCCACTGCAAGTAAAAATTACTGGAACAAGCAATGCTCATTCCTCTATGCTGCTTTCCTGCTGTAATAGGGGCAAAGATGAGTAGCTTGACAAAGACTACATGGTTGGCAAAGCCTAAAATATTTACTATCTGGCCCTTCTGGAAACAGCTTGGTAATCTCTGGTTGCAAAAATACAGTCTTTATACCTAGTTTTAATCTTTTAGCCTAAAAAAGACTAGATGTTAAGGGTCATATACTTTAATTATGTCCACTGTCCTTGCTAATAAATGCAGTGTGGGTTTCATGACTTTAAGCCTTCTTAAATTTTATTACTCATCATCAAAGAACAATAAAAAATGATATGTAAAATAAAGTTTGGTGATAAAGTAACTGAAAAAGTCTATAGACCTCGACATAGCATAAGCAGAAGATGCAAAGCAAGAAAAAGCACAAAGACTCAATAAATACAGAAAAGAAGCACCAAGCATCTCAAAGTTTGAAGGAACAACCCATCAGTCCATTCAGTCACCAAAATAATCAAATTGGTTAATTTTTCATCTCAACCTGAGGAATCTCCCTTGCTAAATAAAGAACTTGCTACTTCCTGAGTTAACATATTCAATATGCTACCAAAAAATGTAACTAGTAGGAAACACTTCCTTACATCAAGGCAAGGTCAACATACCTGTAATATACACATCTTTTCTCTGAGGCTATTAAAAAATAAGATACATTATGGGGCTGGGTTATATTTCAGTGGCAGAGCACTTGCCTAGCATGAATGAGGCACTGGATTTGATTCTCAGAACCATATATAAATAAATAAAAATAAGTAAAAAATAAAGGTGTCCATCTACAAATAAAAAAAATTAAAAGATACATTGATTCCTCTTTCATATAACAGCTCTTCAGATATCTAAAGACAGTTGAAGTACTCTTTTTTGAGATTTCTACTTGGTGATCCTCAAGTTTACAATGTCCAGTTATAATTTAGTTTTGAGACCCTTTACCATATAGATACTCTTTCTCAAACTGCTTTAGTTTTCCCATATCATTTTCAAGAATGGTATCCATAAATGAATAAAATATTATGGTTTGACCTCCTTTTAAAAACTCTTTTAATTAATACAACACAGCTGTTTTGCAGCTGATTCACACTGCAGTTATATATTCTTTAAAAAAAATTTTTTTTTACACACGCTCCTATTATATTCTAGTCTCCTACCCTAACTCTGTACTTGTGAAGACTTGACATATTTTCTTAAGTTCAGTCCATCATTCTAGCCTATCAAAGTATTCATGAATCTTGATTTGGCCTTTCAAAACTGTACTTCCCTAATGTTATCATCTGAAAATCCCATTAGCTTAAGAGATCTGGGATAAGAAGTGATCAACAGAGATGGTCATTTGCAATATGAACTTCTCTGGGGCTTGGTGGCATAGGCCTGAGGGCCAGGACCTTGTTTTTCCTCTGTGAACTTCACACAGAAAGTAAACAATAAACACATCAGTAGAACTAAATCAACAGTATATTTAAAACAAAACAAAACAAAAACCCCTCAGGTGCCTGTATCAATTCTGTGTAATGCAGGTCTCCTGTGGCGTGAGAACTTTCTCATAATGGGTTCTCATATAACAATGGTCAACTGTCATTTGACAAGATTGTGTGGCTGCTTCAGACCTCTGCAGATGCACTATTCTCACAGATGGTTATTCAACCACTAATATTTTGCTTCAGAATAACATTATATTTAGAATAGATTTTCTTTTGAAATTAGTTAGCAAGATTGATATTAAAATTAGTTTGTATTCCTTAGGCAAATATCACTGATTGCTGGTAGAGGTAGAGAAATCAGCCCAAATTTAAAATGTGCCAGGTTAATACAAAATGAACTTTTTTTATTAACTTTTTTACACCACTCTGATTGACTAGAGTTAAGATACAATACTTAATTCTCCTTCTAGTCTCACCTGACATGGAATAAGCCCTCACTAAATAGCTGTCTTTTCTTGGCTATGTCATCCCCAAAATGTTGCTGGATGGCACAATGTCCTTCACTCTACCCTCCTCTCTACCCCTCCCTCGCTATCCTAAAAACCCATACTCCTTCCTCATTTTTTCAAGGCCTCAAGATTAACCTAACAGATCCTCTACCTCAGAGACTCAGTGTGAATTTTATAAAAGAAACAAGTAACTATTCAACAGATTTCCACAATTTCCCTTCTAAAGCAGCTCAAGTTTCTCCTTTTTCCTTCCTGCAGTGGTTCACAAGGTTTTATTTTTCTTCAGGTTCATTCCAGTACTCTACTAATGTCAAATTAATGATTAATCACCTAAAGTTTTCAATTTACTCTTCGTTTCTGACCCTGAATTACCTGTCTTACAAAGACAGTAAGCAAAATGACACTGTGAAAACAGACAAATGCAACAGAAAAATACTGAAGGGTCAAGAAAAATGGAAAGCCTGTCTGAGATTCAATCAGCTTCTAAAAGATATTTCTAAAAGAAAATTTTTAAAAATAAATAGTAATAATGAAAAAAAAGAGTTGGATCCAGAAGGACAGTTATAATAATGCAAGAAAGAAGAAAGTTACTGTCTACTCTACTAGTCTCTGAAGAAATTCTATGCAGTTATCCAAGGTTGACAGAATACTACAAAATAGCTATTCCCTCTTTAAAACAAAGAGAAATCAAGTCATCTTGACCTTGTTATTGGTTGTCTATAAAGAGACAAAAGAATGAATTAAAATTCGTTATTTTATTTCAGAGGGACATGTGGTAACAGATATGATTTAACTATAAAATTTCTATCTCATCCACTTTATTTTAGTTGTTCCTGTAAGTTATATAATATAGAAATAAGAAAAATTTAAATTATACACAATTAACTAAAGTTTGATATAACTGGTATGCATCTTTTTATCCCACACCAAAAAAACACCCAAAAAACTCACAGGATGGAAAGGGAAGAAAATTGAAGTTAAAGCATCTGAAATTTTATTTTCTTCCTGATTTACACCATAAAGCATCTCTCTTTTTTAAAACAAAACCCTTCTATAATTTCAAAAGGTTTTTAGCCAGTACTTCAACTAGATGGGCTGGGATGAATCAAAATTAAGGGTTTAATAGCAATAATGCTTTCTGAGTTTAAAAAACAATCATGAGCCAGGCATTGTGGCACATGCCAACTTGGAAGGTTGAGGCAGGATTGCAAGTTCAAGGCTAGCCTTGGCAATTTGGTAAAACCCTGACTCAAAAAATAAAGAGGTCTGGGGATGGAGATGTAAGTCAATGGTAGAGCACTCCTAAGTTCAATCCTCAGTACAAAAAAAGAAAAAGAAAAATCATGAGGTGACCTTATAATTCTTAATGTTGCTATACAACTTTCCTCCTTCCCTCTCAAACATCCATCTTCCATCTTTTTTTTTTTTTTAATGAGAAAACAGGCTTATAATACTCAGCACAGATTTTCCAGCAGAAGAAAAGTATTCTCTTTTAAAAGAAAAGACTTCTAGGAGCTCTGGAAATGTGAAACAGGCAGACACAGAGAAGATTTAAATACCTGGCTGTTGACATTAATATCAATGTTTGATTGAGGAGACAGCAAAGGACTGTTTTCCATCTCAAACTGCTTGAGCTTCTCTGAGGCATCTTTCAATGCTGAAAAAGATCGCAAAATAATAGTCTGTCAGTCTATCAAGCTGTCATAACTATGTGGGGACACAAATTTAAGTTTTATTTTCCTCAGCACCAATAACCATCACTTAAAAGAAATAATACAAATGAACAGAAAAAAATATATATTTTCTTTCCATGACCAGGTAATTCCCATTACCTTGAGAGTTAATCCCAAATAGCAATCCTAAATACATTGTCCTATGTTTACATCACTCCTAAAAAGCAACTGTATATGGACTCTCAATAGCATGTGTGCTAAAGGTTTAACAGCCAAGAGATTTAAAGGGCAGAACACTTTTGACATGGTCCTTTTCTTCATTAACCTCAACTCAAAATGCATGTCTAACCTTAGTATACACTGCCATCTCCATTCCTGGTCTTCACTATATCCCATCTAAAATTAAGTTTCTCTTCAGATCAGGGATAGAATGCTTGACTCGCACTTGTGAGACCCTGAGTTCAATCTTCAGCACCACATAAAAATAAATAAGTGAAATAAAGGTATTGTTTACAACTACAACTAAAAAATAAATATTAAAAAAATAAGTTTCTCTGGAACAAACTGGTGAAAGGACATAATTATTCATTCATTAATCCAACATAATATATATTGGTACTATCAAGTGTGTATAAGGGTTGGGGATTTCACTCAATGGTTGAACACTTGCCTAGCATGCTGCAAGGTTCTGGGTTCAATCCCCAGTACCTCAAGGGAAAAAAATAATTGACTGCTAGAGGTGTGTGTGATGCAGGACAAGCATTTTGTCCACATAATGTTGAGCATTTTGTCCGCATAATGTTCTTCCTAGCTGCAAAATATTAAGTCCTTTAACTACTGAAAGATAATACATTAAAAACACAATTCATATTTAAATAAGTTATATTTAAATTAATCACTGTAATAATTTTATATGGCAGAGATTAATTTGCATTAATTATTTTGGTAATTTTTTGTCACTTGGCAGAAAAATTATTGAATGCCTAACAAATTCTATGTTATCAGGTAGAAGGAAGAAGAAGAAAACTGAAATCATGTCCTTGGATCACAGGGATCTTCTAAAAGCACTGATCAATTAAACCAGTAGATTCTCTTGCTGGCTGCAGAGTCTGGTGGAGAACCTTCAAGAAATACTGATTCTCAAGGATCACCCTACAATAATTATATGAGAATTTCTGGAGGTTAGATTCTGACACTGAAAGTTTTAAAAACTTTCCAAGTGATTTTAACGTACAACTAAAGTTGAAAGTCACAAATTCAACACTGGTCTTCTCAAAATCTTCCCTACCCATTTACTTAATTCCCATCTTTGGTTTTGTATATTATTCAAGTTCCCTAATGCTGAATTTTTATTTCTAAATTACTAAATGCTATTGCTCTACCCTAAAGTCTTCAGAGACAACAGCATACTCACTCGCAATTTTCTGTGAGTTGTTTAAAGATAGTGTCTAATTTTAGCCTATGATAGAATCAGAATTGGCGAGAGCCATGTAAATACAAGCTGCTTTAAAATGAACATGCATTACACTGAGATTCAATAGGAACTTCTGTTTAGAAACATTTTATGCTTTACTATCAAACCAAACTCTCAAATATATAGACATCTTCAATGAGCAATTTACTTTCTCCTTTTAACCTTTGAAAATTTTAAGGAAAGCAGCATTTGTTATGTATTATTTTTTAAAATATTTTTTAGTTGTTGATGTACCTTTATTTTTTATTTATTTATATGTGGTGCTGAGGATGGAACCCAGTGCCTCACACATGCTAGGCAAGTGCCCTGCCACTGAGCCATGATCCCAGCCCCTGTATTATTTCTTTTTATGGGACTAGACATTAATAACCCTCATTAACACACACACACACACACACACACACACACAAAATACTTTCTAGGAGCTAATGAATCATTCAAACATTCATTCAATTCTGTCCCCTGGGAGACCTTTAAGAAAAATTTTTTTGCTACTTATTTTGTACTCAAGAAACAAAGTAAAACTAAGAATGAGAACTCAAATGTTTAATTATTCAAAAATGATGCATATGTTTAATGGTCTTAATTACATTATCTTAAATATTTCAATGCTCTAAAGTCAAAAAAGGCAGGGAATCATAACTACTGTTACTTAAATTTAAAAGCTCAACTATTACATGTAATATTCTTATAGTTAATGTAATATTCTTAGAGGAAGTGATTTAAATATCTCATTTCAAAGGGAGATAAAAAGTACTACTGATATATTACAGAATATTTACTTACTCTCACATTCAGCTTCAGGTTCCTCTAATCCAGTTTGCATGGTGGCTATGTTAATGTCATCCAGTGCTAGGGATGTTTCCATGGTATCTGATGCCCTAGTTACATCACCAATGGCTGTTTCCAGTAAGTCTGGGCTATCTAGCAAATCAATACTCAGAGGCAAGCTGCAAAAGGCAATATAAAACTTACTTAGACCAATAAATTTATAAGAAAATGAATTTAAAATACTAACAAAAATCAATGTTAAGGAAAGATTCATTAAAGAATTTCATCAAACTGGCTTTATTCATATCTTAAATCTCTCTGGGAAGATTTCTAGCCAAGATGGAGCAAAAGGGACTGGGTTAGCCTCCCACCCTTAGGAGAAACTGAAATCAGGAGGGGAAAAAAAACAACAACTATTTTCAAGACACTAAACATCAGGCAACAAAAGAATGACTCTGAGATTCAGAAAACATGTAAGGTGAGCCTTAAGAAAATTTTCAGGCTATGGTGCAGATAGGGAAGTGAGGCAGAGCACCCAACACTCCTTAGCTGAGAAGATGGGACTGAGAGTCTAGAAGACAAGTCACACAGATGTTTTAGGACAGAATGCCAAAGGAAAAAGTAGCGCAAAGAGACGGCGCTAGAGGCATGTAAAGGGTCCACTTCAAAGTATTCAGCTCATGTGTGAGAAAACTCCCCAAGGCCTGGAAAGGAACTTCTTCCATGCATTAGGTGGAATTTGTGGCACTCTCTCCTCTGTAGTAGAAAGATATTAACCCAGACAAGCACTGCAACAAACTCACCAAAATAAATATAAGTGAGAACTGAAAGGGTTAAACTTTCCAAGTACCTCAACCACATCTCAAAACAAACCTCAAGATGATTTAGAAAAATATCAAAATATGTAGCAGCCAATAAAATAAAATGCACAATATCAGGCTTCCACTCAAAGATTACCAAGAATTCAAAGAGGCAGAAAAAGGATGTCCTCAATCAAATTAAGAGCATCTACCCAGAAACAAAACACAAAGCAGAACTCCACAAACAAGCCAAATAAACCAAAATCTAACATCACAGTTAATGATATAAGACAAATTCTGCTGGGCGCAGTGGCCCACATCTGTAATCCCAGCTGAGGCACTAAACAACTCAGCGAGATCCTGTCCCTAAATAAAATACAAAACAGGGCTGGAAATATGGCTCAGTGGTTGAGTGCCCCTGAGTTCAATCCCCAGTAGCCCCCCAAAAAGAAAGACAAATGCTTTTTCTCGTAAGAAGTAAGTTCACTTTTGTCATTTTAAGTCAACGTTGTACTAGAGGTTCTAATAGGGCAAAAAAGGGGGGGGGGGAAATGTACATCAAAGGTATTTAGAGTAAAAAGGGAAAACACAGATAAATGTGCAAGGCTTGTACACTGAAAACTAACAAATTAAAGGAAATCTAAGTAAAAAGAAGGACATCTGACATGCATGGAAACACTTAATGTTGTCAAGATGGCAGTTTTCCCCTAACTGATCTGTATATTCGATACATTATCAAAATTCCAGCAGAATTTTTTTGTAAAATTCAGTCAATCCTAAAATTCATATGTAAATTAAAAGGAGCTAGAATAGCCAAAACAACTTCAAAAAAGAATAAAATTTAAGAATGTACATTATCCAACTTCAAAACTCTTTAGACAGCAAACAGTATTCAAGATTTTGTGGGATTGGCATGAAGATAGGCAGGTAAATCAACAGACCAGATTGAGAGTACAGATTTTCTTCTATTTATAGCTGACTTTGGCAAGATAAATCAGTGGGAGAAAAGATAAGTCTTTTCAACAAATTGTGCCAGGACAATCAAAATGCAAAAATTTTGAATTTTAACTCTACTTCACACTATTCACAAAAATTAAATCAAAATGGACAAGAAACCTAAGTCCCTATTTAAGAGCTAAAATTAAAACTTTAGAATAAACCACACAGGAGAAAAAAATCTTTATGGCCATCATTGGGTATAATATCCCAGATATAACACCAAAGTTCTGATCCACAAAAGAAAAATTTCATACATTGGAGTTTATCACATATAAAAATGTTTGAGCTTCAGAAAGCCATGTGTGAAAATGAACAGAAACTACAGATTAGGAGAAAAGTTTTGAAAATCATGTATCTGAGAAGGAGCTTGTATCTAAAACATACAAAGAACTCTTAAAACAATAAGACAACCCATATAAAAATTGGCAAAATGTCTGAACAAACACTTCTCCAGAAAAAAAATATTCAAATAGTTAATACTCAACATTATTTTCCCTCAGGAAAATATGAATCAAAACCACAATATGCCCACTTTAATGGTTACAAAACAAAAAGACATTAAGTGTTGGCGAGGATGTGGAGATGAGGTAACCCTCATGCATTTCCACTCTGGGAAACAGTTTGCCCATTTCCTGAAAAATTAATAACCAATTTACAATACAGCCCCATCAATTTTCCTCCTAGAATTTTGTCCAAGAGATATAACTTATATCAATGTAAAAACACGTGCACAGCCAGGCTCAATGGCACATGCCTATAATCCCAGCTCCTCAGGAGGCTGAGGCAGAACTACAAGTTGGAGGCCACCTTGGCAACTGAGATCCCATCTCACATTAAAGGGGACTGGGAATGTAGCTCAAAATAGGGTGGGGATGTGGCTCAGTGGTTGAGTGGCCCCGAGTTCAATCCCCGGTACTCTAAAATAAATAAATAAATAATAAATAAATAAATAATAAATTTAGAAATCTATTAGCCAATATAGTCTATGTTAACACATTTTTCCCCCTTGTTTATGGGCAGGGGATACTGGGGATCAAAATCAGGGACTCACACAAGCTAGGCAGGTACTTTACCACTGAGCCAAATTCCCATTCCTGACAAATTTTTTGTTTTTGATGGATCTCACTATGTTGCCAAGACTGGCCTCATACTTGAGATCCTCGTGCCTCAACCTTCTAAGAAGGTGGAGTTTATAGGCATGTATCACCTGGCTCTATCACAGATGGGATCTCTGTGATCAGTTGTATAATTTTCAACAAGTTACTTTACCTTGTTCACAAAATGTGTAAAGATAGAGGTAGGGAAGTGGGTGGTGGTAGAGTTTTGGTCTCCCTACACTGGTTTCTTTCATATGCTTTTACTTGAATTTGTGACGTACATTTAATCCACAAGATTTCTTGGCTAAAACATTTAGAAACCATTGGAGTAAAGTTACTCCTGACACATTCCATCTTTAACACTATAAAAATTTATTCATGTAAAACCAGCTCATTAGTTCACTCTTCATTCCATCTCCTACTGGTCCAACTGTTATCCACACAAAATATGAATCAGGTCACTTCTGGGGACTTTAAAAAAAAGAGGTGTTAGTAGTGATGGAGGGAGGAGATCAAACAGATGACAGGGTACTGAATTTGTTAAAGTGGAACGATGAGCATATTAGTGTTCATTGTATGTTCTAATTGATCTATTTTTTACATTTTCAACATTTTAAAAAACAGAGATACCAATATTTTGGACAAAAGGATGTGAGAACTGGAAGGAGGTCATCTCCTGTGGACCTAATGTGGACACATGACAGAAAAAAATTTGTTAAATTACACATCATACTAAAAAATAAGACAAAAACTTTATAAATCAGAAAGTAAATGAAAAATGTAAAAACAGTGTATGGGTTAAATCGTAGCCCCAGTTGAAAATTCAAATGGTTAAGTTCTAACTCCTAATACCTCAAAATATGGCCTTATTTGATGGGCTCGCTAACAAATATAATTAGTTAAATTGATAAGTTCAATCTAGAGTGGGATACAGTGTGGGATACATTTCGCACGCAGAGAAATGCCATGTGAAGATGAAGGCAGAAGTTGGGATGAAGCATCTACAAGCCAAGAGACACCAAAGATTGCCAGTAAACCACAAGAAACTAGGCAAGAGGCATGGAACAGATTCTTTCTGACAGCCCTCAGAAGAAGCAACCCTACTAACACCTTGATCTCAAACTTTTCAAAATGTGAAAAGAAAATTTTGTTAAGGGACCCAGTTTGTGGACCCTGTTCACAGCAGTCCTAGCAAACGAATATATCCCTCATTCTAAAGATCAGAGCCTACTGAGAGAACCTGAAAGTACACATCATTCAAGTCATAAGATAAGAAATCCAAAAAAAAGACATTCTGCAAGGAAATTCAAAGGGCTAGAGGGTACTTTGACTTTTCTCCTCCACTTTACAAGGAGAGTGGGACCTTGTAAAATCACATCAAGTAAACAGAGGCTCCAAGGAGAATGGCATCTCTGTGGTGTGAAATGCCAAGTACCAGAAACTCCTAGGTCTATGTTGGGTGGTAGAGAGAGAGTTCTAATGAAAATCTCATGCCTGAATCTGCAAGTTTGGGTGCATATTTAAATATACTTCCCATGTAGTGAAGTGATTCCTTCAGGACAGTGGTCCAAACCAGTAAGTTGAACTGAACCAACCTGAAGAAAAGACAAGTTGGACAAGCTGCATTCTCAATGCGTGGCATAGCAAAGATTGCACAGGCCAAGTGGCACAAAGAATAAAATAAAAACAGGAGTAAATGATAATGCATTGCAGAAAAAAATCTATAAATGTAATGCTGTTAGCAAATTATTTCTTTTAAAGGTTAGGAGAAAGAAAAGCTCTTTTGGACATTAGAAAAGCAACTCATATATTTAAGAAGACAGAATTAGAAAATCACCATACTACAAATAGTGAATTAATAATAACGGATTCAAGGGGTTGGGGTTGTAGCTCAGTGGTAGAGCACTCGCTTAGCACGAGCAAGACGCTGAGTTTGATCTTCAGCACTACATAAAAATAAATGAATAAAATAAAGGTATTGTGTCCAACTACGACAAAAAAATTTTAAAAAAAATAATGGATTCAAGGCAAAAATCATCAGTGGGTACTAAAAACAGGATCAAAGATTTGGTAGGAATGGGAAAACCACTCAGTATCAAAATGACACTCCACAGATTACAAAGGGGAAAAGTACTTTTACAGGGAAGTCTGGTGAATATCATCTTAAAAAAAAAAAAAAAGTCCAACCTTAACCTAATCATGAGAAATCAGACAAATCTGTTGAGAGATATCTTGCAAAAGAATTGGCAAAGGCTCTTTTCTTAAAAGCCCAAAATTATAAAG